ACTTATGACAGCTATTCCTATGCCCCAAGTGCAAGACCTTGCACTTGGGGCATAGGAATAGCTGTCATAAGTACAGGTTAGGTGATAAGTGACTGGAGAGCAGCACTTGTGAAAGAGACCTCGGGGTACTGGTTGACTGCAGGCTAAACATGAGTCAGCAGTGTGATGCGGTGGTCAAGAGGGCGAACGCCACCCTTGGTTGCATAGCCAGAAGTGTGGCTTCTAGTTCAAGAGAGGTATTACTACCACTCTACACGACTCTGGTGCGCCCATAACTGGAGTATTGTGTTCAGTTTTGGGCCCCTAATTACAGAAAGGATGTAGCCAGGTTGGAGTCAGTGCAGCGTAGGGCCACAAGGTTGGTGGCCGGTTTGCAGGGGATGCCGTAGGAGGTGAGACTGAGGGAACTGGGTCTCTTCAGCCTGGAGAAGAGGAGACTCAGAGGGGATATGTTGGCGACATACAGGTATGTGAGGGGATGTCACATGGAGATGGGTAGAGACCTGTTCTCCCCTGCAGAGGAAGGCAGGGTGCGCTCCAATGGAGCAAAGCTCAGGGAGCCAAGGTTCCGTTTGGATGCCAGGAAGCATTTCCTGAGAGTTAGGACCCCAAGGGTGTGGAATGGGCTTCCACGACAGGCCATTGAGGCCCCATCGGTGTGGGTGTTCAAGGATAGGCTGGACGTCCACATGGTGGGCATGTCGTGAGCGGAGCCGGCTGGCGCCGGAGGTCAGACTAGATGGCCCGGGAGACCCCTTCTGACTCGCTCTGTTTTCTAAGTTTTTCTATGTTTTCTATGTGGTGATGGCTGTTAAGTTGCATGGCTTTAAAAGGGGAATGGACAAATTCATGGAGAAGGCTGTCAGTGGCTACTAGCCTTCATGGCTTGATGCAGCTTCTAGCATCAGAGTCGGTCTTCTTTTGTACACCAGTTGTTGGGGGAAACATAGGTTGGAGGGTGTGGTTGCATTCATGTCCTGCTGTAGACCAATGCGTGAACAGAATCCTGGACTAGATGGACCCATGATTGGATCCAGCTGGACTCTTCTTAGGATCTTACTGTGTGTTTGCACCAGGCAATGTAAAGCTAGGATCACACTGTGCCCTCCAAATATCCCCAACAGCACTGTCATTGTCTGTGTGACTGAGGATGATAGGTGTGTTAATTAAATGCCTGGGCAACACCAAGTTGCAGAAAGCTGGGTTATATTGTGCTCCTGGCCAGTTCCATTCATTTGGCTTTTTGGAAGCACTATAGATTTTCACATGTATGTTTGATAATTCAGAGGAAAAAACTGGCCCTTGGTAAATGAGCCCCACCTGTTCTTGATGTTTTCATACTGTTTGTGTTTCTCTTCCAGGTGAACTTCAGAGTGGGTGGCTGGACTTCCTCCTGTTTGGCAGTCTGATTGCTGCAGTGGACCCTGTTGCTGTGCTGGCAGTATTTGAAGAAGTCCATGTCAATGATGTTCTTTTTATCATTGTTTTTGGAGAATCTCTACTCAATGATGCTGTAACTGTGGTAAGTCTCAATGTGATATTTGATTCTGGATTAAAAACCAGTGAAACCCTGATCTGTCAGAAATGTACTGGTGGATCTCTCAGAATATCTGTTTTTAACAGTGGGGAGAATCAGCCCTTAGGTGTCTCTTATTCCCTACAGTCATATAGTCATACAGTATAGCTCAAAATCTGAACTTGTACTTATACATTCACACTGTTCTCTTTTCCATTTAATCCTCACTTCTCCATGAGATAGGTCGAGAGACAATGATTGGCCCAAAGGTACCCCAGTGAACTTCATCCTTGAGTGTGAAGTAAGCTTCATCAATTTAAAACTCTGATTCTTCCTCCATTCCACTTAGATATTCTGACTATTCAGACTTCAATATCAAGTAAGTTTCCCTATGCCCTCCCCACACAATTGCTTAGGCAAAATGACTTGGAGATCGCAAACACTTGTACACACTTGTGTATTTGTTTCATCCTAATAAAGTTACTGGCTTTACATTTGGAACTTTTTTAAAGTCAGCATTCCTTTATTTTATGGAAACTTTATTAGTCAGGTTTTATTGGAGGAGTGGGGGACCTCTTTCAGTGCAAGAGTTACATCCTCTTGTGGTTCACTTTCCAGGAGTTGCAGCACACAAGTGTACATAAGTGCTCAGTGGGGCCAAAGCAAAGGTAGGTGGGCCAAGTCACCCTCTTGCTCTCACACAAACATGCATATGCATTCATGCCCATCCATTATATAGGTCCACGTACAATACACACACATCCACCCATCTTTTCACAGTAGAACATACAAACATTCTCCTATACAAATGCACATGCCTAAAGATACATGCATTCACATCTGTCATGCATAACCAAATAAAATGCATGCACACCACTCATGGTCACAAAACATTCATTTTTTAAAAATGCATTTTTAATGTGAATTGTCTATTTTGGTGAAATACAACTGTATAAAATAAAAAAATACAATTTTCTTACAGAAAATAAAACAAGACCCAACCTTGTCTGGGAGTATAGAATAGGTTGGAGTCCCAATTTCAAAGACAAAATGACATTCATGATCAAGGTTGGGACTCTGACCTCAACACTTCCTCTCCATTTGTCTTGGCAGCTGGCATGCTTCATTCTGTGCTGCTGGGGCTCTGAAGATAGAAGACCATTTTTGCAGTCAGCCTTGGGGGCCTTCCAAGAGGCAAAGCAGGGAGGAGTGAGACACCTCAAATGGTCCAAATCTCACTTTCCCTTGGATGTTTCTAATCTTCCAAGTTTGGAGGGTTACAGGCTATCACAACGGATGGTTCTCCATCATTTACAATAAGTGTTTATGAAAGATATATCTAGGAGCATATGTAAATACATATAGAAACATGCATAAGGTTCAGAAAAGTGGACTAAACACTCATTTATCCATCTGTAGATGGGGTCTAAATACCACCTGCTTGAATACGTAAAGCATCATTAGATCCTCAATGCATCATGTTATAGGAGGTGGGCATTTTATCTTTCCAGTGCTGTAATACCAGTCAAGGTCAAGTGGGTATAGAAAATCTGCCTCTGTTGTCCTTGTCATAAGCTCCATACAGCAGGGCAGGGGAATAATTTAGAAGAACTTGTCCCTCAGTTGCCAAAACATGTGGGTAAAGAAGCATTAACAGTATTAGAACAATTCACAGACTTATGCAAGGTTGTTGTAGCATCCAATGAACTCAAAACAAAAGGTATTTCCAACTATGACAATGTAAGATCTATAGAACCTGCTGGTGCAGATGCAAAAAACAATGTTCCATTGATTAGACAAAACAGGACTACCTGATTCCCTTTGTAGTCACACTGTATTTAATTTTCCTGCAAGAAACCCAAGATGGCTTGTACAATCCTCCTTCCCTCATGTTAACCTCTCAACCTTTGAGGTAAGTTAGGCTGAGAATTGGTGACTGGTATAAAGTCAACAGTGAGTTTTGTGGCTTGAGTGGGGACTAGAGCTCAGATCTCCAAAGTTCCAGCACTACACTCCAAGACACTTTCAGTTGCTTCCTGGTGCAGCAGTTACACTTAGAGAGACAATGGGAAACTATTTCAAAGTCCTATTGTGGGAGGAACAGAGCCCCATGAGGCAAGGGTTAACCTCCCACAACAATTGGAAGTTTTTTTCAAGTTCTTCCCATGGGGGCTGGCCACAACCCATGAGAAGGGGAGAGTTTAGGCTAGTTTGTGAGACCTTGCAGATTTCATCTAAGTGTCTAGAGGTCTCCCACCCAAGTTTTGCTGTAGTGCGTGTAGAACAAAATATGTTAGCTGTGTGCATAAGCACATTCCAAATGTATACTGTTTTTTACCAATGCTTAGCCATGGATATTTAAGAAATAGTTATTAATATGCCATTTAAAATAAGTTATTTAGGTCTTGAATGGTTTTATAAAATACATTTTCTTATCATCATGAAACCACCTATTTAATTTCCTCTTAGGTACTATACAACGTGTTTGAATCCTTTGTTTCAATTGGAGCCGAAAGTGTCACTGGGGTGGACTGTGTCAAAGGAGTAGGTCAGTAGCCAAAAGAAAACCCATTTGTTGCTATATCTTTATGCAAACCTCCAATTAAATGCTAGACATCTCTTTATTCCTAGATTACAGTACAAGCAATGCTATTTCATATTACTGAAAAAACAAAAATGAGTAAATACATTATATTGATTTTGGAATATTCAATAGAACTAAGCCAATGTTCTGCTAATGTATATACCCTATACCTTCTGCATTGAAGACAGAAGTATCCATTAAGGAGAAGAAATCACTAAACAGATATAATTAATTAAGCTTCTCTGCAGTCTTCTTATCATGCATTGTTCTGGTTTATTTCATTGGTGATTATGAGGAAGTAACAAAGCTTGCTTAGGCTGGAAGGACTTGTGATCTCATGCATGCAAATGCTTAGGTGCAGTATTGGAAGTAGGCAATCTCTGCTCTCTTTCCAGACCTGGGCTTCTGTCATAACCAAGGATCTAGAACTCAGGTGAGAAGTGGAATGTGTAATTCCAGACTTAGACAACTGAATGTATCTTCATGTATCTTCTGAGCCATTCTTAAAAAACAAACAAGCAAGCAGTGGTCAGTTCTGTGTCTGATAGATTACAAAATAATGGTCACATATATTCTCTACATTTCCTCACACTTTCTATCCTATTTTTGCAGCCATAAAGGCTAGAAAGCTGTTTGTGAGAGAGACTGAGTGGTGTGCTGCACAAGCACAAAGCTTAAGAAGCTCAGCAAGCTCTTTTCTCCATGTCAAATCCTGTCTTGCACTACTATGGACTGGTGCATAACAATAACCCTCAATCTGTTTCCCCTTCTCCAGGGACAGCCAGATGTAGCCTATAGCTTATAATACACAATCTAGATTGCACTCCATTGCTCCAATTAGAATGTACTGGCCACATCAAACAGGTGGCATTCTTAGGACAGTAAACAAACCACTAGTACCTCATCTGCTGCTGCTTTCTAAATTCTGAATGTAAAAAATAAATCAGGCAGTTTCATTGCCTAGAGATGGTGCTTGTTACCTTTAAATGCTGTAAAGCAATGAAACTGGATGCAGCCGCTGCCCTGTCTTCCTTATTTCTCTATTGGTCCCCACCTATCCAGTGCAGCAGGTCTGGAATTCTGCTTACTTCGTGGGAAGTTGTTTGGACAAGTGAACCAATAGAGATAGGAAATGGGAGGTACAATATCTACTTCCTGTCTCAAGCATTTAAAGGTGTGGGCAGCTTTTCTGGACAAATGATTTCACCAACACCTGCTAATATATAAAACCATTCTGCTTGCTTCTGTGTTAGGAGTGACTCAAGCATGGTACATTCTGTGCATTTTATTGGAATTTTAATAGTCCCATTATGCTTATGTCCTTTTAAAGTCTGTCATAAAGAAAAAGATAAGGGAAAATGTTTGCTTAGTATTGCCAATGGGCAAAAGGTACTGCTGTTTAATTGGGCTGGTTCATGCCAAGTTCAGTTTTACTCTTTCCTTTTAATATCTGCAATAATTTTGGGAGCTTGCTTTGTTCTGCTTTCCACTCCGTAAAGATTCAAATGAATCTTAAGGTACAGTTATAAAGTTATTTATCTGCACTTCATGAGAGGCCTAGGCCTACCTTTTTCTGGTAAAACACTTCATTTTATAGTACCAGTCACAGAAATAACCATCAATGTACACTCCTTAGGATGGGGCACAACACATAGATAAACCTAAAGCTGCATGAGCAAAACTGCTCTGAATCTTGGGAAAAATGCAGTGAGTTAATAACCTTTGAGGTGGGAGGTATGCTGCCTTGGGCCCAAAACTTTGCAACCTTTTACTGCAACCCAGGTTTAATCCTTCCTTCCTGCTGTGCAGTGATCCCAGTCTGGACTGAAGCCATGCACACTTACACTAAATAAAAAGGTAAATTGAGCTACATGAAAAATGATACATATAGCTTGCAGTTTCGTTGTCCCTTTCTTTCTTCCCACCAATGTGTCCTACTCTTCCCTTTTAAGGTGCAGATTTCTTTCTCTCTTTTTGTGCTTTCCCTAGAGACAGAGAACCATCTTGTTCACACATGTATTTATTTACAATGTAAGCAGATCTTGCCTATATAGAAGCAGCACTTCTTCCATATGGACCAATAATTCACTTTTGGATATAATTCAAAGGACTGGTTTCGATTCTGAAGCTCTGCAGTGGCCTGGGCCTTCAAAAGGGTGATCTTCTGTGTGGGTGAGTCCCCTCTGGAGAGAGGACTTTCTCTGTGGCCATACTATACCTTCAGAACCCTCTCCCCAGAGCAGGCTGCTTGATAGTCTTGCTATTTCCCTTCAGATGCCTGGATAAAGCATCTTTTTCCATGAGCTTTCAGTAAAGCTTTTGGGTTGTGTAACTGTCTTTTTTTAGCCACAGAATGGCTAATTTTTATTTTCCTTATACATTTCTGAATCTACCCTCATCTCAGTGAGTGTGCTTGCCGCAATTTATAATAAAATAATAAATATTATAGGACAGTTCTCTTGAGGACAAAAAAAAAATCCCTCTTGTTCGTTGTGGGACCATGAGAGAAACAGGCAACACCAGCAAGTAATTTATATATAAATTACAATTTATATATAATTGTATAAATAAATAACCTACAATTTTTATTGTAGGTGCACACAAACAGTGGAGAGTGAGCCCATCTCCAATCAGGACCAGCTGCCACAGTCATCATGCACAGTGAATGCAAATTTTAGCTCTTTGCAATGATTAGTAACAGAAAACAACACAGCAGTAAACATTCAATTACTTTGTACAAGGGTTATCTTGACCTGCACTTCTGGTGTTAAAACATCTGTCTCCAGGTTTATCTTTACACATTCTGACTTCCTTGACAGAGGTTCATTTTATATTTTTGACCCTCATGTGTCTTTCTGACAGAGCTGTAAATAACTGTTCCTCATTGTTTGGTCATCAGGAAAAAAATTATAATCATCAGTCCCCCTGCTGACCCTAGAAAATCCTTAAAGGATTCTTAGGCCATATGAGCAATAATTTCTTATGGAGCAACCCATAGCCAGATTGTACATGCAGAACTGCCAGCACACCACACCGTGCTTCCACTCTGGGCTATTTGCTAGGGTTGGGGCACAAGTGTGTTTCTTGTGGAGTCTGAGAAAAGGATGGAAGCTCATTTGCCTTGCATGTGTGAATTGTCTTTTGTTGAAAGCCTGGTCTTCTTGAAACTGGTATGAAGAATCTGGGTAGGAATCTCTTTAATTCAGATGGCAGAAGGCCTGACTAGGTCGGTTTCAAAATGTTGCTTCTGAACATACAGAAGTGTTATTTCTTGCTTCTTTATGATCTTAAAGCAACTTTTCAAGTTTTTCTGTAATTAGCTCCTTGGACTTACAAGTCTTTCCCAGCTCCTCTTTCTCTTGAAGAGTTGGTTGTAGGCCCTTTTGTGCTGTTCACATTCTTCAAAGTAGTCTGCCGGTCTTTCAGCCTTCTTCAAATCACCAGCTACTCTCCTTTGATAAGTGCTCACAGGCATAAACACAGAAGCTTCTGGGCTGAAGTTGCCAAAGAGTTAGGAACATAGAAACAGAGTGAGTCAGAAGGGATCCCCCGGGCCTCCAGTCTGACCTCTGGCACCAGCTGGCTCCGCTCACGACATGCCCACCATGTGGACGTCCAGCCTATCCTTGAACACCCGCACCGATGGGGCCTCAATGGCCTGTCGTGGAAGCCCATTCCACACCCTTGGGGTCCTAACTCTCAGGAAATGCTTCCTGGCATCCAAACGGAACCTTGGCTCCCTGAGCTTTGCTCCATTGGAGCGCACCCTGCCTTCCTCTGCAGGGGAGAACAGGTCTCTACCCATCTCCATGTGACATCCCCTCACATAC